CCTACAGACTTTATAAGTTACTTTCACACTCTGAATCAGTCCAAATAATGATATGATCACTGTGACGTACAAATTCAATGACGTTACAAACACTTTCAGATATTAGTTGTACGCCTGCCTTCTCACATGAAACAAATTCGCGTTTATATCGCTTGTAAAAGAACCCACTGTAATTCCGACATCCATGTAAGCACTGGATGAATACGAATAATTCTACAAATATGAAAAACACGATTCAGGCATATTGCAAACCCTGTGTTCTAAAATTGGCGGGAGGCACGGTGCTTCCGTCTAGTGTTACCACCGGTTGAAAGATAAATTTCCTGATTAAATAATAATTTATATGATGGATGGGTCTATCTGATGGAGTTTTAAGAAGTTTCCTGAGATTTCCAACCGTACAAGTATAAAATGTTTTTACAGGAAGATACAAGGAAACGACATTATAATAAACAACTCAACAGTTAACTTCTGTGTTTACTTTTCTAGAACAAAGGAAATTTTGAGGATAAGTAGGAATACTCGTGACACGTCAGGGAGTGGATAGCTGATATTTTGCGCTTGTATTTATACTGCCGCGTGAACAGAATACTCAGCCTTCAAATGTTCCTTTTCTGTGACCAGACTTTTCTCATCAGACCGACAAGGTTTGCTGCACCTTTTCTGAACACAGTCTGCAGGCAAACTATCTTTCACACCTCATTGATCTTGCGGAAAACGTTACATAATCTTCATGACGAACGCCGTANGAGAAAACCTGCCCCAGCGCCACTTTGTCCACCACTAATCCCACTTGACCATACCCGGGATCGAACCCGGGCCGCCGCGGTGGGAAGCCAACGACTAACCGCTTGAGCTATGGCGCGGCCCTACACAAATATATACACAGCTTTGGTCGGCAAACCAGAAGGGAACATTGCAATGCATAGGCATAAATTTGAGGATACTGTTAAAACTGATCTAAAAATAATGGATAACTGTGTGGACTTCATTTATATGGCTCAGGATAGAGGCCATTGGCTGGTTCTTATACACGCAATATAAATCTTTGGTTTCCATAAAAGCAAGGAATCTTGAGAAACTTGGGGGCTCTTAGCTTCTGAAGAAGCGCCCCATTCAGTTACTAAATGAGGTACAGGCTTACTTTCTTTAAGTGCATCGCCATGTTTTTATCCAGTCCGTAAGAAAGAAAGAAAGAAAGAAAGCGTGTGAACTTCGCTTAGCTGACAGAGCCAGCAGCCAGTGAGGGGACCAACGCAGCCTCTCTCACCTGTCCAGCGGCTGTGTCCTTCCCAACTGCAACCCAGAGACATGGCGGTGCAGCGTTTCCGGTGGTCTAGCGTAGACCTTATTACAATTCAGTTCGATGTGTGAAAGAGCCGGTATAGCGACTGGCTACTGGCTGGACGCCCGAGGGGTGGGAGTTCGGGTCCCTGTGGGGTCAAGAATTTTCAATTCTCCGTGTCGTCCAGACCGGCTCTGAGGTTAACCCAACCTCCTATGCAATGGGTATGGGGGGCCCTTTCCACGAGGGTAAAGCTGCCGGGACGTGAAGCTGACCACTCATCTCCATATAGTGCATAGGTAAAAGAATTGTCTTTGCATCCACACCCCCATACTCTTTCATGGCGTAGTGCTTGGTTAAGTACAGGGACAACTTTACCTTGGACTGTGAATTGTAATCTTGGAAGGAGCTCGAGAAACTTAATGTTTTTAATTCTACAGTCTTACATGCAGTCATTTATTAAAACTTAATAAAAGCTAGTCACTTTAAAAGTTTTCACGTGTTCGACCGAATTGGTCATCATCAGGTGCTGAAAGTTGTGGATGAGGAAACTGCTGTTTTTCTGCGTTAATGTTTAGTTGCTGATAAATGGGTTCCCTAGTGCGCATGTGTGTATTCCTCCTCGCTGTGTTATGTGCCCTGTAGAATTAAAAGTGCAGCGGGATGCTACAGTATAATTTTATACGTCTCAACTTTTTGCTGGCGCCCTTATAGAGCTTTACGACAGTCCGATCCCCCATCCAAGGAATTCTACCAGGTTAAGGAAATATAAACATATACCGTTAAATTTAACGATGTAGCGGTTAAAGTAACAAGGTAAAAATAACTAAAGTTGCCTATGCATCGTGCCATGAAGGCGTATGAGGGGCATGGAGGTCAGTTTCACGCTTCGTCTCCTTTGCTCCCAGGAAGGAACTGCAGTTCCAAATGGATGAGAGGCCCAGAGGAACTGAGAGCCTGTCAAGTGCCACCGTTCATTTGTGATTTATTTACCGACCCTTTCGGCATCTCAGACTATGGCCTTGAGTTGTAGCATAATTAATGAACGATGACTGAGAAAGGATGTGGAAGGAAACGGTAGCAGCCTGTTTCAGCGCACAATCCCGGGATTCGCCTGGAGGGGCCGAAGAAAATCATGAAGTGTTGCGGTCTGAATCAGCTTGCTTATCGAAACGTTTAAAGCCTGAAATTCGTCTAAATAAGGTTCAGAAATTCGGTTCCTGTCTCATTCATGAGAACAACCGGTTAGTGCTGTTTAGAAAAATAATCTCTGTTTATTCTGAGAATCATAAAGAATAGAGACATGCGCTTGTCGAAAGAATACGCAGATGGTAAATTATAACACTACGGTGTCGCAAAATCTTAACGCGTGCATTTATTGAGCAGGAATAAAGAAAACTGGCCAACGTCAGGCATGGGAAGAAGAGAATGTGACTTAGAGAAAGGAAGGGAGTCGTCAAACGTATGCCACTTAACCGGAACCGGAAGAGAGGACATCGTGGCATTGTGCTAACCACGGAAGTTTCTATAGGTTGAAGATGAGACTGCTTCCATCAACCTACGTTAACTTTATACGCGATTAACAGCAAAACAACTGACAATGAAACCATGAGACTGCAGCAAGTTCCATGAAATTTCTCGTCAGAACGCCCTGTATAGGTACCAGCACCCACTCTTGTGACCGATCGTGGTTTTCCCCTGTTTTTGTTCTAGATTCGCATTCGGGAGGTCCTCTGTTCGAATTGGCTGAGACAACTTCTATCCTTACTGATGTCTTCACCTGATTTTTTTCCAGTACCTCTAGGAAGATGTCCTGATAATACCTCTTAGACCACAGTCGCTTCCTTCCAGATACTTTCCAATTTATCGTTAGTCGTAGCATTTCGTGCTATGTAGACTCGATACTGAATATATCATGAATTAACCCACAACAAAATCCACTAGCAAACCGGATACGAAATGCGGGAGTTTAGCCTGAGTAACAAACACCCCCTTCTCAGAGCCGCATCCTGAGCCAGTTCTGTCCCATCCAAGTGATTAACCATTTGTACGAGATATAATTTTCATATTCTTTATTTCCCAAAGTTTTCACATAACGCAAATTCTTACGAAGTCTTCTGAAATCCAGACTGCGCGGCGTGACATTCAAGAAAACGCAGTCTATATTAATTCGACCCAAATGGCTAGCCTATCGTAGTGTATTTATTTCGCTACCCTAACAGCTAAAACGAAATTTGTGGTAATTCAGTCTGTAAAGTGAATGGCTGCGTAATTTTGCTACTGCTTATAATTTATGGAACCAAGTGACTATTTCGACGTCCCCACGTACAAAATCCTGCACTTCATTCGAAGCGCAGGATTGCTGAGGGGATAATCAAAAAGGGAAGCACAATAGACCACTGTAGGTCGCGGTGCAAGGGGCGAGAAGGCCCTTATACATTCATTCATTCATTCAAGTTTGCTACTGGAATTCGATTCCCGGGAGCGCCTAACCAGTTTCCTATCCAATCAGTGCCAGCGTTCTGCACTTACCACACCTAACTTGTGTATTTCTCGTGTTAATGTTGGTAATAGGGTGTATTCATATAGTGACAATGTTCATATTATAAATGAACGATGACTGATGCAGAAATCGAACTGGCGTTGGTGTACATCACAGTTTGCGGTCAGTGGCCATCAGTCCATTGTTGTTGCATTTCGGTCACAAAACAGGATATTAACTGTACTTCACATTACACAATAACTTAACAGTAACGACAAAAAACGAGCAAACAACACAATGGCGGGACGAATCTGGGCTGTAGTCGCGTGTATTGCGTCATTTGTGTTATACGGAGGCGGTGAAAAACGAAATTTCACGACTGGGTTTTCTGCAGATGATTAATGAGGCTACCTTTACGGCCTCTGTTGCAGTGGCAATTGTTACTACGGCCCTAAAACCTTTCTTTCTGGTAGGCATGTGCTGTAATGGAGCGCGTTGTACGTTCTGCGCGCGAGTGCAGCGTCACTGGTAGGTAGGTGCGTTTCCTGTCTGTATTCATTCTACAATATCCCTACTAGTTCCAAGTCAAGAACATTATTTTAGCTCGCTTATCTACAGACGCTTAAACAATTTACCGTAGACTTGGTCATGTGATTCTCCTGTTCGTTCCAAGAACTAAATACACTTGGTCGTCGACTTACGACCATTAAAAAAAATGAAAAATAAAAGATGATTAAAATGTAAAAGTTTTTAAAAATAAATTATAAAGATGATAAAAAGATTATAAAGGTTAAAAAATACTGTTAATAAATATATGGCCGACATACGACCAGATCGAC